GGGAATTCGCATGATCGGGTATTGTTTATATTTAGAAACTGTAATATGATAAGTACTACATGATTCCTACTTTTGATCCGTTAATTGCTTATGTGATGTCGTTATTTGCGTTTAAAAGTGTCCAAGCATGGTTTCGGGTTCCACGAAGGATCCCAGGACGAATTTGTGATAAATGAGTCAGTGGGGGGTAGGTGGGGGTGGGGGAACCCACTACCTACCCACTGCCAAAAGAGGTGGCAGCCCGCTGCCCGGAACAGTGCCCACCGGCGGGCAGCCGGCGGGTGACCCCCACCCACCGGCTACCCGCTGGTCCACACCCCACCCGGGTCCCAGACTTCCCCGTTTGATGTTCCCCGTTCCCCATTGTGTCCCAACGGACCCCGTTTGTCGTGCCTGAGTCTAGTTTGGAATTTCGGGTACCATTCGTAGGTTAAAACGAGTCTTAGGAATTGCATGCTAGTTGAATTGGTAACCCGTGGACCTAGGTCGAAGTTATATGAGCCCTTAGGAATTATTCTTAGTATGTGGATGATCACATGTAAGCTTAATTATATGTCTCCCCCTATCCCTATGTGAATTATGTGTTATTATGTGCTATTTTGTGTTACGTGATGCATGACCCCAACTTGGTTAAGATCAATTGGGCTATACGGGCAGTTGAATGGGCTGAGAACCATCCCAACTGTTAACTAGGCCGGTTAAGATCGGTCAGGGATATTGATATGATATAGGACTGAGGTCCACTATACGGGCAGTTGAATGGGTTGAGAACCATCCCAACTGTTAACCAGGCTGGTAGAGACCGGTCAGGTATATAAAGATTATGTATAGGACTGAAGGTCCACATGGGCCTCGGTGATATGACCCACCGACCGGGATGCGCCAGGCGGTATGGGGCCAACAAGCCGAGGAAGGTTGTAGTCCACCGACCTGAGTAATCAGGCGGTGTGTAGGACTACAACTGGCTGCGACCCACCGAGTGGTGGGACATCGGTATGCAGGACTGTAGTCCTAAGCCTAACACTTAGCTTCTTAAGGTCGCTTAGAGGTCTCAAAACACACTTAATCACTTAGAAAGTCTAGACTTAACGCTTCCTAGTCTCTGATACCAACTATAACACCCCCCAAACAAGACCTATATAAAAGCCTTAACACAAGCAGATTAAGCGACAAAACTAGCACAGTGGAAGATAAAAACGAAACTGGATAAAAGGAAATCCAACGGGGTGTCACGCCACATCTACCAAACACGGTAAACGCTACGGCAAACAATTTGCAAGTGTGTACATCTATCCCAAAACATCAATCTAACGACATCGGCGCACAGGCCACAAAAACAAGGATAAAGGTGCTAAGCTACCAGGCTCTAGACATCGCGCTCGTCTAAAACATCACCTGAAAGATACAAAGATAAACATTGGGACGACGCCCGGTCAGCGTATAATGCTGGTAACCCACCAATACCGTTAAGTATCATAAATAGATAGATATAAGTCATAAAAACCATTTTCGAAACGGAATACATATATATATAAGTCAAAACCAAGATCAACTGTCAACACAAGACTCATCACTCTCAAAGATAACACGGGAACACATCCCAAACCACAAAGGTTAACCACACGCAAGGATAAAGACTCACCCAACGGCAACACATGCCACAACAACAACACAAGCCTCCGTGACTGCACACGTCACGAGAGAAGATCACACAACGTCGGCTTTACAAGCCCTCGCAACATCACCCATCACGAGTTGGTATGCCTTCCTTATGCCCTGTTCTAACCTTATGGCTACCCCCAACCTTGTACCTTCTTTTCCAACCATTACCTCCAGGACCCCTGTACTTCTTAGTCCAACCTTATTCCCCCGGGACCGTCGTCCCCCACCAACAACCACCAACGAACACCACCAATCACGGCAACACATGCCCGGATAACACATGTTATCCCCCAAAAACGTGGACCCATCACTCAGGCCACAACTCCATAATCACGTCACGGCCACCACGAGGACCGCTGCAATACCTTGGTGACTAGTGTCCCATAGCACTAATCGTGCAATCCAGGTAGAGCCACACACGCACCACCACTCACACGAGAGTCAAACAACGGATCACAACGAAGATATGAAACATACTCAATCAAGGAACGGGTCACAGCCCAACAACAACAACGATGAATAACACAAGTTATCATCATCCAAACGGAAGGTACAAACAACACACACGCTAGCATTAAAACAACAAACTAGCATGCTCATCAACGGGGAAACTCAAGATAGTTCCGAGGAACACACAAGACACTTCTTAGTCCAACGAAACACAATGTTGAACACTTAGCACGATTCAAGACACCAAAGTCCTACATGGATACCTACCATATAGTTCTAGACGTACGAAACATCGAGAAGACACTCAAATAGTTCCACAAAAGAACATCGAGAAGCCAAAAGACCAAATACCGAGTCAAACCAATCACGGGAAACAAATCCCGATCCAACCCCACTGTGTTCCCCGCGGGTGGACCCACGGGTAGGCCCCTACCCGTGGTTCCGCCCGCGGGTACACTACCCACAAGCCTATGTACCGGCGGGTGGGCGCCGGGTAGGGCTCTCCCCGCCGTTCAGCCCGCGGGTACATACTCCTGTGCAAAAAGAACCCTTCAGGGATTTTCTTCTCCAAACACCAATTCAAGTCCAAAACATGCCAAATCTCACCAAACACAACAAAATGACTTGAACCATGGAAAATGTCAAGGAATAGCACAAAGGAACCCTAACCACAAGCTCTAGATATGAAATATCACAAGACAAATGCATAAACCCTCACATTTCATAGCAAAAAACATGTAGAATCCAAGAAATCACATATAGGTAAGCAAAATAGGTTTTGTAGAGCATGGGTTACCTCTTGAAGACCAAAAGACTTCACTTTACACCACCACAAGCTCTCCACAAGGCTTACTTTCCAAACCCACTTCAAGATTAAACCAAAAGATCATAAAGATCCTACCTTTAAGAAAAAGACAACTAAGATGGAACCAAAAACACAAGATGGACCTAGATCTTACCCTCCTAGATGCCCAAATAGGTGAAAGGTTGAATCTTGGAAGCAAATCTTGGAATCTTGACAAGGGTCTCAACTTGTCTTGGAAAATAAGCTACACTTCTTTTCTTGAGAGAAGGTAGAACTAATTTCTAAGAATTGTAAGGAATGAAATGAAGAAGTCTTCTAGGTTAGGTTACAATACTAACTCTTGGTGAAAAGACAAGGATACCCTCACTAACCCTTAGAAAGTGTAAGGAACAAGGGAACTCCCCTCAAAGCACAAGGTACAACACAACTTAAAGGTTGACTAGTCAAATTCTAGTCCTTGAGTATTAAAATCAGGATTTTAGGAATTAATTCCTCAAATAAAAATAGGATTAATTACTCAATTAATCCATGGATTGAATGTAGATTTTTGGGGTGTCACATCCTCTCCCCCTTCAAAGAAGCTTCATCCCCGAAGCTTGGGTACGACGAATTAAAAGCGAACGGTAAAAAGGAAACGAAATTGTGACAAGAAGTTCAAGAACAACCCTTTTGGTCAAAGACTCCAAAAGAACTCACAAGGATTCCAAAGCAAAGAAGAAGGCATTTCAAATTCAAGGGTTGGCAAGAGGTCAACAAACGGATAGATTGAGCATCAAGAACTCTAACCTCAACACAACCACCAACTTCTAGACCACAACCAAGACTAGACTACTAACTCCAAACACCAACTTCCAAGCTAGCTAAACTACAAGGCAACAAGCAAAAACAAGCAAGCACACAAGGCACACAACAAACGAGGAAAACGAGGTACCTTCCACAAACAACTCAGGGTACCGCTCCCGCATCGATGACTCCAGCTCCCAAGTAGCTTCCTCAACCCCATGATGTGACCACCAAACCTTCACCATCTTAATAGATTTCCTACGGGTGTCCCGAGTCTTAAAGTCCAAAATTCTGAGCGGCCTTTCCTCGTAAGACAAGTCTTCATCTAACGGTATTACTTCTGGTGGTAAAACATGAGCCGGATCGTGAACATATCTCTTGAGCTGCGATACGTGGAACACGTTATGCACCCTTTCCAACTCCATAGGCAACGCCAAACGGTAAGCCAAACTCCCAACCTTTTCCAGGATTTCATACGGGCCTATAAACCTAGGGCTCAACTTCCCTTTCTTTCCAAACCGCATTACTTCCCGGGTGGGAGATACTTTCAACCAAACCTTATCCCCAACCGAGAACTCTACTTGTCTTCTAACCAAGTCAGCATAAGACTTTTGATGATTCTGAGCTGCTTTCATCCTTTCCTGAATCTGTTTAACTTTCTCGGATGTGTCTAACAAATATTGCGGTCCCAAAACTATCGGATTAACAAGATCCTCCCAACAAAGCGGACTGCGACACTTCTGTCCATAGAGAGCTTCATAGGGTGCCATGCGAATGCTCGAATGATAACTGTTGTTGTAAGAAAACTCGATCAAATCCAAATGGTCCTCCCAAAACCCTTGAAAATCTAACATACAAACTCTCAACAAATCTTCGATAGTCCGGATAGTACTTTCTGTTTGCCCATCGGTAGCTGGGTGGAAAGCAGTACTGAGACTTAGCTTAGTTCCAAGAGCTGCTTGCAAGGATTTCCAAAATTGAGACAAGAACCTTAGATCCCTATCGGAGACAATATCCCTCGGAACTCCATGATACTTTACCACTTGGTTGACATAAACTTGAGCCAACTGTGTCATAGTCCAGGTCTCCTTTATTGCGATAAGGCGGGCAGTCTTAGTCAAACGATCAACTATCACCCAGATTTTGTCCTTACCCGAATGGGTCGTCGGTAGACCTCCCACGAAATCCATAGATATAGAATCCCACTTTCCTTGTGGAACTTCTAATGGTTGTACCAACCCCTTTACCTTACAACGTTCCGCTTTTACCTTCTGACAGTTAAGGCATTTCCCAACAAACTCTACAACTTCCTTTTTCATATTAGGCCACCAGAAGAAGCCCTTCACGTCTTTGTATTACTTGTCTCCTCCGGGGTGAACCGAATAGGGTGTGTTATGACCCTCTTCCAAAATCTGTCGCTTCCACTGATCACATGACGCGGGTATGCATACACGGCCTTTCTACCTCAGCACCCCATCCGTAGATAACTCAAATGGTCCCCCTTTCCCTTTAGCTAGGTCATCTCTTACTTTTGTAAAAAACGCATCCTTTTGCTGCTCTTCCTTAATTTCTCCCAGAAATGGTGGTACAATCCTTAAGTTATAGCAACGAACTTCTGCCTCAACTTCTCCCTGTTCCACCACTTCCAAGTTCATCCGTTGGAGCTCCTTACACAGCTCATCCGCCACTACCCAAATAGAACTAGCGGTATGCTTCGATTTTTGACTTAAGGCGTCCGCCACTAGGTTAGCTTTTCCTTCGTGATACTGGATATCTAACTCGTAGCCCTTGATGAGCTCTAACCACCTTCGTTGCCGCATATTGAGATCCTTTTGGGTGAAGATATATTTAAGACTCTTGTGATCCGTGAAGATCTTGCAACGCACCCCATATAGATAATGCCTCCAGATTTTCAAAGCAAACACCACGGCGGCCAATTCCAAATCGTGAGTAGGGTAATTCTCTTCGTGAACTTTAAGTTGGCGTGAGGCGTAAGCAATCACTCTCCCATTTTGCATCAACACACAACCTAATCCTTTCTTGGACGCATCACTGTATACCTCAAACCCTTCCATTCCTGATGGCAAAATTAAGACTGGTGCAGTCGTGAGCCTCTCCTTCAAATCTCGAAATGCTAACTCACAAGCTTGATCCCAAACGAAATGCACTTCTTTCCTTAATAACTTAGTCAAAGGTTGAGCCACCTTGGCGAAGTCCAAAACAAATCTCCGATAATAACCCGCTAAACCAAGAAAACTTCTTACTTCCGACACTGATGCAGGTACAGTCCAATCTTTCACTGCCCGTATCTTGTCCGGATCCATAGAAATCCCCCTACTGTCAATCACGTGGCCTAGAAACGTCACACTGTCTTTCCAAAACTCGCACTTGGAGAGCTTGGCGTATAACTACTTCTCCCTCAAGATCTGAAGTACTGTCCGAAGATGTCCAACATGCTCTCTCTTATCTTTCGAATAGACCAAAATGTCGTCGATGAACACGATCACAAAATCATCGAGGTGGGGTTTGAACACTCTGTTCATCAAGTCCATAAAAACTGCAGGGGCGTTAGTCAACCCAAACGGCATAACTGTAAACTCGTAGTGACCGTACCGAGTCCGAAACGCAGTCTTAGGAATGTCCTTGTCTGCTACCTTTATCTGATGGTACCCTGACCTCAAGTCAACTTTGGAAAACACTCCTGCACCGCGGAGTTGGTCAAACAAGTCGTCGATCCTTTGGGGGGGGGGGGGTATTTGTTCTTGATGGTAACTTGGTTCAGCTCTCGGTAGTCGATACACAACCTCATACTTCCGTCCTTCTTCTTTACAAACAAAACTGGGGCTCCCCATAGCGATGTACTTGGCCGGATATAACCTTTATCAAGGAGCTCTTGCAATTGGGTCTTCAGCTCATGCATTTCTGGCGTAGCCAAACGATACGGGGCTTTAGAAATGGGTGCAGTGCCTGACATAAGGTCCACTGAGAATTCCACTTCTCTAGTAGGAGGCATACCCGGTATTTCCTCGGGAAATACATCAAGACATTCACGGACTACGGGTATAGATTGAGCTACCTCTCTTTTTTCCTTCAAGTTCTCGACCGAACACAAGAATAACTCGTTGCCTTTATCCATATACTTCTTCATCTTTGCCATAGAAACTAGCTTAATCCCGGGTTCTTCCATCTTTCCAAGGTATGACACCTTTTTCCCGCTGGGTCCTCGTAGCACCACCTTTTGATCTTTGCACAAGATTTGGGCTCTAAACCGCCCCAATCAGTCCATACCTAAGACCACATCCATCCCGTCCAAGTCGTACTGGATTAGATCGCTAAGGAACTCTTCTCCTTTGATATTGATCTTGATGCCCTCAAAAAAGGCGGTCACACATCCTAACTTCTCCTGATGCTACCTTCACGTTAAACTTCACTCCCATGCCCCCAGATAAGCCCAACTTCTGCACGAGGCCGGGTGATACGAACGAGTTAGACGCTCCTGAATCAAACAAGACTGTTGCTGGCACGGATTGCACAAGGAAGGTTCCCACTACTACGTCACTGTCACCTATTCGAACTCCACTTAACGTAAGCACCCTCTCTTGGGGTGGCCCTTCCATTGGATGGTGAACCTCTATCCTCCCATGCCTTCTTACATCTCGGAATGCTGGCAAGGTAGCTGCACTAGGACTTACTCTTGTGGACGTACCACCCCAGATCTATCGTTCAATCACCCCAAAAGCATTGCTAAATTCGGCCAACCGAGATTTCTTAACCACTTCACCCACATCTTCAAACGTTGCGATACGCTGACGAGGAGGCATCACAGACTTCTGCTACAACAACGAGGTTACCAAAAGAAGGCAAACAAGCAAGACAGCAAACAACACACATCTCGCCGCGCAACCTAGAGTCCTAAGCCTAACACTTAGCTTCTTAAGGTCGCTTAGAGGTCTCAAAACACACTTAACCACTTAGAAAGTCTAGACTTAACTCTTCCTAGGCTCAAACCTAGGCTCTGATACCAACTGTAACACCCCCCAAACAAGACCTATATAAAAGCCTTAACACAAGCAGATTAAGCGACAAAACTAGCACAGCGGAAGATAAAAACGAAACTGGATAAAAGGAAATTCAACGGGGTGTCACGCCACGTCTACCAAACACGGTAAACGCTACGGCAAACAATCTGCAAGTGTGTACATCTATCCCAAAACATCAATCTAACTACATCGGCGCACAAGCCACAAAAACAAGGATAAAGGTGCTAAGCTACCAGGCTCTAGACATCGCGCTCGTCTAAAACATCACCTGAAAGATACAAAGATAAACATTGGGACGACGCCCGGTCAGCGAATAATGCTGGTAACCCGCCAATACCGTTAAGTATCATAAATAGATAGATATAAGTCATAAAAACCATTTTCGAAACGGAATACATATATATAAGTCAAAACCAAGATCAACTGTCAACACAAGACTCATCACTCTCAAAGATAACACGGGAACACATCCCAAACCACAAAGGTTAACCACACGCAAGGATAAAGACTCACCCAACGGCAACACATGCCACAACAACAACACAAGCCTCCGTGACTACACACGTCACGAGAGAGGATCACACAACGCCGGCTTTACAAGCCCTCGCAACATCACCCATCACAAGTTGGTATGCCTTCCTTATGCCCTGTTCCAACCTTATGGCTACCCCCAACCTTGTACCTTCTTTTCCAACCATTACCTCCAGGACCCCTGTACTTCTTAGTCCAACCTTATTCCCCCGGGACCTTCGTCCCCCACCAATAACCACCAACGAACACTACCAACCACGGCAACACATGCCAGGATAACACATGTTATCCCCCAAAAACATGGACCCATCACTCAGGCCACAACTCCATAGTCACGTCACGGCCACCACGAGGACCGCTGCAATACCTTGGTGACTAGTGTCCCATACCACTAATCGTGCAATCCAGGTAGAGCAACACACGCACCACCACTCACACGATAGTCAAACAACAGATCACAATGATGATATGAAACATACTCAATTAAGGAACGGGTCACAGCCCAACAACAACAACGATGAATAACACAAGTTATCATCACCCAAACGGAAGGTACATACAACACAGACGCTAGCATTAAGACAACAAACTAGCATGCTCATCAACGGGGAAACTCAAGATAGCTCCGAGGAACACACAAGACACTTCTTGGTCCAACGAAACACAATGTTGAACACTTAGCACGATTCAAGACACCAAAGTCCTACATGGGTACCTACCATATAGTTCTAGACGTACGAAACATCAAGAAGACACTCAAATAGTTCCACAAAAGAACATCGGGAAGCCAAAAGACCAAATACCGAGTCAAACGAATCACGGGGAACAAATCCCGATCCAACCCCACTGTGTTCCCCGCGGGTGGACCCACGAGTAGGCCCCTACCCGTGGTTCCGCCCGCGGGTACACTACCCACAAGCCTATGTACCGGCTGGTGGGCGGCGGGTAGGGCTCTCCCCGCCGTTCAGCCCGCGGGTACATACTCTTGTGCAAAAAGATCCCTTCGGGGATTTTCTTCTCCAAACACTAATTCAAGACCAAAACATGTCAAATCTCACCAAACACAACAAAATGACTTGAACCATGGAAAATGCCAAGCAATGGCACAAAGGAACCCTAAACACAAGCTCTAGATATGCAATATCACAAGACAAATGCATAAACCCTCACATTTCATAGCAAAACACATGTAGAATCCAAGAAATCACATATAGGTAAGCAAAATAGGTTTTGTAGAGCATGGGTTACCTCTTGAAGACCAAAAGAGTTAACTTTACCCCACAACAAGCTCTCCACAAGGCTTACTTTCCAAACCCACTTCAAGATTAAACCAAAAGATCATAAAGATCCTACCTTTAAGAAAAAGACAACTAAGATGGAACCAAAAACACAAGATGAACCTAGATCTTACCCTCCTAGATGCCCAAATAGGTGAAAGGTTGAATCTTGGAAGCAAATCTTGGAATCTTGACAAGGGTCTCAACTTGTCTTGGAGAATAAGCTACACTTCTTTTCTTGAGAGAAGGTAGAACTAATTTCTAAGAATTGTAGGGAACGAAATGAAGAAGTCTTCTAGGTTAGGTTACAATACTAACTCTTGGTGAAAAGACAAGGATACCCTCACTAACCCTTAGAAAGTGTAAGGAACAAGGGAACTCCCCTCAAAGCACAAGGTACAACACAACTTAAAGGTTGACTAGTCAAATTCTAGTCCTTGAGTATTAAAAATCAGGATTTTAGGAATTAATTCCTCAAATAAAAATAGGATTAATTACTCAATTAATCTACGGATTGAATGTGGATTTTTGGGGTGTCACAGATTGGCCCCGTGGCGCCATCGATGATTATGTGATATGAATTATGATTGGATGATAATGTGGATTGGAATTGAGAAGTGGCTTGTGACCGTAAATGCGTATTCCTTATGATGTTAATATTATTATTGTCTGATGTGTTTATCCTTATTTGCTGAGTCTATTCCTGGTTTTAAAACTAGTGTCTCTTAAGTATAGTATATATCTTCCTGCTTCGAAATGATTTTTGTATATATATATATATATATATATATATATATATATATATATATATATATATATATATATATATATATATATATATATATATATATATATATATATATATATATATATATATATATATATATATATATATATATCTATACTATATTTCAATGCGTTGGAGTGGGTTACGAGCATCTCTCGCTGAACAGATATATTTGGCTTTCAGGCACAGAGGAGTAGACACTGGAGCGCGCTAGAGACTTGAAGCGTAGAGTAGATAGTTTCCCTTTGGGCCTGCGTGTCATGCTTATATATTTACATTATTGAGGATACTAGTTAGTTAGCCTGTGCACCTGAGTTCTCTAACTCAGGTGTGGCATAGCACCTCGTACTCTTTTATGTTATGTTTTGGGATTTAATGAGAATCTACCTTCATTATATAAGTCTTAAAAATTGAAAAATTTTGGGGTGTTACATAAGGATTATCATTTATTTGTTTACTTAGTTTTGCACTTCTGTTTAGTAATCAATTTATTGCTAAACAGATTATATTACTAATCATTATTAATCAATGATTAGTAATATAATCTGTTTAGTAATAAATTGATTACTAAACAGATTATATTACTAATCAATGATTAGTAATATAATTTGTTTAGTAATAATCTGTTTAGTTGTTTGGTAATTGATTATGTGTATTAATGGTTAAATATTTATAAAATTATATAGGATAACAAGTAACAATACAAATGAGTCTATTCCTGAAGAAGTTAATGTGCAAGTTACAACTACACTCCATCAATTTCTTCAAGTCAACCAATTGAAAGTAACAATTCTGAAGAAGTCAATAGGGTTGATAATGATTCAATCATAACAAAAAAGCGGAAAAAAACATCTCCGGTATGGCAAAATTTTCAAGAAATTGAACTTGCTAATGGTACAAAGAAAGCAATGTGTTTGTATTGTAAGGAAAAATACTCTACTGGTGTAACTCCCCACTTTTCTAACTCTTAATTACATCTCTAAACAGTCATTAATATAACTAAGCAGCCGAAACTAAAAGATAAATAGTGGGAGTGTCATCGCCACAACCACCACTCTTTGGTGATTGCATGGGCTAAAATGGGTAAAACTAGAAATAAGATTAAGTCTGGGGACTAAAAATAAATACTAGAAACGTAAGGGGGAAAAATGTCACCCCAAATAGTCTACATCAATCCTCAAACATAAAGTCGATAAGATTAAAATCCATACATAGCATCAATAAAACTAGAGTTTAGACATCTCTATCTACGAGACTAATCTAACTCGACTTCTTCACACTGCTAGGCCCACCTGAAAGGGGTTTTGCAAGCAACACATAGACAAATAGGAAAACACCCGTTAGCACGAAGCTAAGTATAACCACACTCAACCCTGTAAAGCATTCTAGCATATACTTTGAAAACATTTGATATCTTTATAGCAATAAGCTAATCTCAAATCATTTTAAGATTTATCACATTCTTTCTAGATGCTTACACCCTATAATATCAGCTGGCATGCTTATGTATGTACAAGACTGTTCACATATATTCAACAGCTTATAAACTTCTCAGATAACTTAACAAGTAACTCATGCTTACGGATTTAATCATGTTAAAAGACCATATAACAGGTGTTTACATGCTTTCACATTCTTATCACATAACTTGATAAGTAGAGCTTCTAATACAACATGGTAATCATGCTCAAAGGAATATCTTAAGTCAAACTTCTCGTTATGCAATCTCTTACGATGCTCTATTCGCAAGCAATCACATATAACATTATGATCATACTTCTTATGCAATCTAATGCAATAATATATTCATACTCATATGCAATCTCGTGCAATTATATAATCATACTCTTATGCAATCTAGTGCAACAATATACTCATACTCCTATGCAATCTCGTGCAGCAATATAATTAATCATACTCTTATGCAATCTCGTGCAACAATATAATCATACTCTTATGCAATCTAGTGCAATAATATAATCATACTTTTATGCAATCTAGTGCAACAATATAATCAATACTCTTATGCAATCTAGTGCAACAATATACTCATACTCATATACAATCTCGTGCAACAATATAATCATACTCTTATGCAATCTAGTGTAACAATATACTCATACTCATATGCAATCTCGTGCAACAATATAATCATACTCTTATGAAATCTAGTGCAACAATATACTCATACTCATATGCAATCTCGTGCAACAATATAAGCATACTCTTATGCAATCTAGTGCAACAATATACTCATACTCATATGCAATCTAGTGCAATAATATACTCATACACTCTTTTATAAATTAGAGTACTTTCTGTGGAGGTCTTTTTGTTACTTTTTCGAGTCTCTTTTGACTCTCTTTCTTTCTCTCGAGTCTTTATTGACTCTCTTTCTTGAGTCTCTATTGACTCTCTTTCTTGAGTCTCTGTTGACTCTCTTTCTTTCTCTTATAATTGTAGATGGCTTAGGGTTTCACAGAAGTGTGAATTACCCCATCGGGTAGTGATTACCCTACTTCTAACTTGTACCTTGCTGAAATTCAAAGGGTGAAAAAGGTTATTGATAATGCAGCTGAGAGTTTTGACATGTTCATGAGTGAGATGGCAAAACCTATGAAAGCAAAATTTGACAAATATTGGGGGGAGTGTAATTTGTTAATGTCTATTGCATGTGTTTTAGATCCAAGGATGAAATTAAATGGTATTAAGATAATTTTTCCCTTATTGTATAAAACACCAAGTGATGTTGAAAAGAATGTGGACAAGGTGAAAAAGGCATTAGAAGATTTATATCTTGATTATGTGAACTTGTATAGTCAAGATGCTTCTTCTACTAGTGGACATAGTGAAGTCAATGTTGAAAGCAACACTCTGGTTGATGGTGGACAACAAATGGATAAAGGGATGCAAGAACTATTGAGTATGGTCTACCAAAGTCAATCAATTCCTCTTACGAAATCAGAGTTGGAGACTTATCTTGAGGAAAATCTTTTTATTCCTTCTTCTACTTCATCCTTTTGTGCCTTGGCGTGGTGGAAAAATAATAGTCCAAAGTTCAATGTTTTATCAAAGATGACTTCTGCTATACTAGTTGTTCCTATTTCAAGTGTGGCATCTGAATCCACATTTAGTGCCGGGAGAAGAGTCACTGATGAATATCGGGCTAGCTTAAATGAGGAATCTATTGAAGCTCTTATTTGTGGTGGGGATTGGCTTCGTAACAAGTACGAGCTGAAGAAAAAAAAATAAAAGGTAAGAATTTACTTATTACTTTAATATTTTATATTATTTTATATTACTACTTGTTACTTTAATATTTATGATTTATGAATTATGACTTTATGAGCATTTGAACTTGTAATGGACTTCATTATTTATTCTCAATTTTTGTTTATTGTGTAGGGAGATTCTGGACAAGAAGAGATTATGTTAAAGCCATGACTTGTTTCATTTTATGTTTGAATACTATTGTTGTTATTATGTTTAATGTTTCATGTTTGTATTGTGGACTTATGATTTCTGTTGTTGTTAAACTTATGAGTTGTGAATTTGTGATGGACTTTTGTATTATGGACTTGTAGACATGAAGTTATCAAACTTGTATGGTTTTTGTATTATGAACTCCTTATTAAACTTGTGTTGTTTGACATTTTATTATAAAATATGAACTTGATTTTGTCATTTACGATTATTGGTTGATTCACTTGATTGTAATTTAATAATATGATTATTTTTTACAAGTATATTCGTATATATAATATATTAAAAGGCTTTAAATAGGCTTTGAACCTATTTAAATAGGCTCAAAGCCTATTTAGAACCTATTTTGAAGCCTTTTTAAAAGCCTATTTAGTAAATAGGCTTTTAAAAAGGCTTCAGGCCAGGCCAGGCCTACTGCAGGCTCAGGCTTGAGCCTAAAAAAAGCCTACATACAGGCCTAGACCCAGGCCCAGGCTTTAGGTTTTCCTAACAGGCCCAGGCCTAATTTTAAAAAGTCTAGCTCGGCCTGGCCTATTTTCACCCCTACATGTGACAACCCAAAATTATTTTCTAAATTCTATTTTACAAAATTTCAAAATAGTCATTTTCACTTCTTCCAAAATTTTGTTTCGAAAACGGTGTTTGAATTAAATATTTTAAGCTGAGTTTTCAAATAAATTCAACACCGGGATTTATTCTATTTCAAAAATCCTAAAATTTCAGATACATTATGTATCAAGTTTTGATATGAAAAGCCAATGTGAGTGAAACCGGAAAGAAATCTGAGAACCTGAATCAAGTGTTTAACTAGAAAACATTTTTTGGAAAATCTATTTTTGACCCCAAAGTTAGTCAAAATTCACTTTTAGTCTATGGTTCATAATGCAAGGTGGACCCAAAGCCTCCAACCTTTGTCTGATCATTTTGAGCTCAAGCCAAGAAATTCCATTTTTACCCTCAACCAATCATTGGAGAAGTTCCTAGGGTTTTGCACCCTATAAAATCCACACTATTTATTCTCCACTCCCTGATCTCATTCCCTTGCCTCTCCAAACTTTGTCTGTTAGAAGAGAACAACATTCACAGTAAATTTCATCCTTCATCTTTCATTTCTTCACTTTGCTTCTAGTGTTGTTCCTTTGGCCTCCATTCTCTCAGATTCTTAGGCTTAGTTTGTGTTGATGTTTGGGATGTTTAGGTGGTGAAGGAAGTGGTGGAAGTTGAGTGGAGAGGAGGCTGAGATCCACACAAGGAAGAAAAACAAGAAGGGGTATAAACCATGGACTCCCAAACTATTATTTTCACCCTCTATTCAATGCTAGATTGAGGTTTTTGATGAATAGAAGTGTAACACCCCAGATTTTCAAGACTTTTTAAAACTTATAACAAAGGTGGAATCTCATTAAATCCCAAGAAATAAATACAAGCGTACGGGGTGCTATGCCACACCTGGGCTAGAGAACCCAAGTGCACAGGCTAACTAACTAATATCCTCAAAGCGTAATTACGTAAACGTGGCACGCAGGCCAAAAGGGGAAAACTATCTACTTCTATACTCCAAGTTCTAGCGCGCTCCAGTGACTTAATCTTTTGTGCCTGAAAGCCAAATATATCTGTTCAGCGAGAGATGCTGGTAACCCACTCCAACGCGTTGAAATACAATAGATATAGAGATATATATAGATATACGAAAACCATTTTGAGCATGAAGATATATCCTACGAACTCTAGCTTTAAAAACCGGGAATGACTCGACAGATAAGGCCAGACGCAAGCAACAGTTATAACGAGCATATGCAGTTCACAACAGATAAGGCAGATAAGGCAAAGCATAAACAATGATCATAACCCAATATGAACAATCCCCAATATAAATCCCATAGTCACATCCCCCAAGACACTCGTAATCACAACTCGTCCATGTCACAGCACATAACACACTTTGTTGGCGCCACAGGACCAATCGCATGCCCATACATGAGGGTCAGCGCATATAGCTCTGACACGGCCCCGCAGCACCCTGCCCCGTATCGCAACACGGAGGGGTCGATCGCAACCGACCGATGAACCGCAGCTCATCATAGTGTTTGATCGCAACCAAACAATGGACCGCAGCCCAAGAGAATGTCATCTAACCGCAGCCAGGAAAAAGGACGAACCGCAGCTCGTATAGAAACGTTTGATCGCAACCAAACGGTGGACCGCAGCCCAAGAGTATCAATCTGACCGCAGCCAGCTTCTGAACCGCAGCTCAGGATAACCAATCCGATCGCAACCGAATTGGGGTAACACACACACATAACACATAGCAAGCACATGCAACCCACATTACACATTGGGAAGGGGGAGAAAACGTATAACAAAACCTATGCG